CTCATTTTCCAGGGAAGTGTGAACAAAAAATTTTTTCCCTCCCAGGGCTCTGTTAAGAGCTTCCAGAACTTAATTCAGTGTTAAATGGGTGTAATTTGGGAAACTCATGCATTATTTCTTAATTTCTGGAAGGAGCGTTTGCACACATCTGTTGGGGTAGGTGTGCGTGCGGGCAGATGGGTGGTGACTGGAGCATTTGTCCCAGATGCGAGGGGAGGGAGAGCAGGCTGGGGGGCATGGGCTGTCGATATAAATGCCCCATGCAGGTTGACGTCGGAAAATATAGGACTAGAGGCATTTACATTTCATCTCAGCTTCTGCTTCTGTGGATGGCCAGGCAGGGAGAGATTCTGAAGCCTTTTCCTAAAAGGAGTGCCTCGGGGGGTTTCAGGGCAAATTTCATCATCTAGGAAATGTTTGTACTGCCCCACACCGCCCCGACTCCCCAAAGCTCCTCGAGGCCTCTGGACAATGGCCACCGTGTCTATAATACAGGCTTGAACATCCTTGGCCCTCAAGAACCCCCAGTTCACTGTGTGACCTTGAATGCAGTCCCAGCCCTCTCTCAGCCTCAGTGTCCCCATCTGAATACGGGGAAGCAGATCGGCTTCAACCCCCTCCACCAGCAGCTCCTGGGGCCTCTCCCCATCACAGCACAGCACACGAGGCTCAGGCCTGCTGCTGGCACTGTCTTTGTCTACCACCCTGCCCACCCCCTTGAGGGCTGTGGAGAGTGGGGTGCGCGCGCGCGCGCGCACGCGCACACACACACACACACACACACACGTGCGCATATGCCAGAGACCCTGCCTGGGCCTGGTCTGGCACTTTCAGAGGTACTGTGTCCTAAGGTGCTGAACAAGAAATCCTGGGCTTGTGGGGAGGGGGGACGGCCAGTGACTGGGGAAGTCAGGATGAATGTTTCAGACCTGGCCACAGCTAAGAAGTAAAGGAGGGAGGGGCTCATGATAACTGGAGTGGGGGGACAGAAGGCACATCAGTAGGGCCAGCAGGACATCCACAGCCCCGGCTCGAGAATGATTTATTCATAGAGTCATTCATTAAACAGGTTGGCTGGAAGCTGCCCGGGGGTGGGTCTCAATGACCTTGGGGTCTCCTCCACCTCCCCAGGGGGTTCATGCTTAGGGGTCAAGGAATGTGTACCCTGGAGGAAGGCAAGAAGGAGGGAAGGGGTACAAAAAGGGAGGGAGGAAAAGATGGGGCCACCCCCCTGCCAGGCCCTGTGCAGAGTAAGACCAGCGTCTACAGAGTGGGTGTCCCCTACTGTCCCCAGGAGGGCATAACCAGCATGGACAGGGCCTCGGGTCACACTCCTCACACATCCTGGCTCTGATGTTCAGAACCCTGCCTGTTTAGTGTTTAGGAAATGAGGTCCCACTATTCTTAGGTGTTGACGATTGTTTCAGTAACTTCTGAAAGAGCAGCTGGGCTGAGAGAAGCCCCTCTTGGGGGAGCAGGGGAAGGGGCTCTCAGTTCGCTCTAAGATCCTGTGAATCTGTTGTACGAGTCAACTGGGGAGAAGCTAAAGCAGCCGAGACTGGGTTAATAGAGGCAGAGCATCCCTAAGAAGGGAGGTGATAGCTTTCATCTAATCATAAGGCGGGCCAGGCTCTGGGTCAGTAATACTGGAAAGTAAACAGAATAATGAGTAGGAAGTGAGACTATGGGGCCCCAACCCCGTCATGGCTCCTGGTGCTGTGTCTTAGGAGCCTCTACATCCCCACCCCGCACTAGGCAATGTAGTGTAGTGGTTGGGAGCCTGGTCCTGGTGGGGTTATGTATTTTTAGCCTCTCTGGGTCAGTTTCCTCATCATACAACAGAATCTACAGTTGCCATTGACAAGTTTGGCATGAGGATTAAGTGGGAAGCTGGGTTCCACGTGCACTCAGCATAGTACCTGGCGTGGAGCAGGCCTTTGGGCTGTCACTGCCAAGTGCAATCCTAGTGCTGTGCGGGGTGCAACTGTGAGCCTGTTCGGTGAAGTCCTGTATTGTGGACACAGACAGCTGAAGTGGCCAGACCTGGTGTCCACATGCCACCGCCCCCCACCCACCCCAGAAGCCAAGGGCCTGGGCATGAGGCAACCCTCCTGCAGTGTGGCCTTTGGGGTGGGGCTGGAGAGGGCTTGGCCAATTGTCCTAGGAAACTGGAAATCAGATTCACCTTCTTGGCCAAAACTGCCTCTCCCTCTGCCCAACTCAACCATGGGCAGCCCACCCAGAAGCTGTCTAAGCTCCAAACTGGCCTCCCTCCCTCCTCCCTGCCCCACTCTGCCATTCAAACCCTCACTCAAGCTGGGGGGGGTGGTGTCTCCTGCCCTGGCCCTGCTCCAGGGGAGCTCCATCCCCCAGCCCTCCAGGCCTGCAGCCACCTCCCAGCCCCGCAGGTCCAGAAGGCTTCAGCCACCCTGTTGTGTCTGCAGCTCTGCCCACAGAGGGTCCCTGCCCAGAACATCTCCTCCCCCTTCCTCTGGCTGATTCATGCCTGTCATTCTGGACCAAGCTCCCCTGGCCCCAACCCCTCCCAGGTTCCAAAGGACAAGTGCCTCCCGCACGTGCACTTCCCGATCCCCGGGAGCTCCCCACTGCCTCATGACCTGACCTAGGCATGCCCCCAGCTCTGCTGGCTTGTCCAGGGTCACTTCCTCCTCTGCTTCCTCAAGAGCTGCCAAGGGTGAGCTGAGGCCCTTCAGCACAGGCATGGGGGTTAGGGGAGCTGGCTTAAGAAGGGGAGGGAAGGGATGGATGGATGGATGACTGGTAACTGGGAGTGGCCGTCAGCTGGTCTCACTCTGGGCAGGTCCCACTTGCTTTCGTTGTCACTTACAAAGGTCTGACTGAGCAGCACTGGCCCTGCCCCCTACCCTTCTCATCCGGTCCACCTGCCCTGATAAGCTCCAGGCTGGGTGGCTCAGGAGAGTGAGAATGGGACACACACACACGTGCACGTGCGCGCGTTCACACGGCTCCAAGCCAAACTGCTCCCCTCACTCCTCTTCATCAGTCCATACCTCCCAGATGCCTGAGACAGAGCCAGGAACGCAGCGTGAAGATGACATTAAAGAAAGAAACTGTCAGAAACCCTTGCCTGGGGCTTTCAGCTTCAACCACAAGAGGGGCCAGGGCTGCCTGGTTGCAGAACTTCCTGGTCATCTCTTGCCAGAACAGGCACAGTAGACAGCCTCTCTGGAGACGGGGTGCTTGCAGAGAGGCGTTCTGCGCTGAGCAGTCACAGATTCAGGGGATGGGGAGCGACTCCCCAGTTCTAGGCAACCATGACCGGCATGGGGATTGTCCTGGTTGATGCTGGGACTTGAAGGTTATTTGAATTCTGCTTTCAAATGACATTTCCCACCGAAGCTAAAGCCTACCGGTAGGTGAAAAGTCCCAACGATTACCCCTGGACCATCTGATTCCCAGAGAGATTTGGACAATCAGACTCAGGTGAGGAAACAAAGGGTGATGCAGGGAGGGAATTCTCATCAGTCTGGGTCTGAACAGAGCTGAACTTGATGGTATTTCAGGCACAGCCATCCAGCAGCGAGATGCACAGGACATTACTGACCGAAAACACCTTAGACAATGCCTACAGCAGGGCCCTCATTTTATAGTCTAGGAAGCTGAGGTCCAGAGACATGTGGACAGCTGCCTGGGGTCACACAGCCACCAACGCTCAGTGGGAACCGACAAGGGTTTCTCACAGTGAGCTCACAATAGCCTTTGGTGGTGGGTATGGCTGCCATTCTGTCTTCCAGATGAGGAAATGGGCTGGGAGGCATCAGGAGCCTTGGTCAAGGTCATACAGCCCTGGAGAGGGGACTGGAGGCCACCCCCAGAGAGTCCCTGTGTGGGGCACTTTGTGTTCTTCCCATCCTAGGCTGGGATTCCTGTAAGTGACAGGTGCAGTCACTTAAAACAGGCTCAGGAGGCCCAGAGAGGTAGGGGAGATACAAAGAGGCATCCCCAGAGGTGCTCTCCCGCAGATTACATAACTCCCCTTCCCTGTCCGATGGCCCCAGTGGGGAGGCTGGGGCAGCTAGCAAGAGTGGGGGGCACCCAGCGGGGAAATGGACCCGGCCTTGTTCGCCCATATCCTCTTGACTCTTTCCAAAGAGGTAACAGTTGTAGGTGCCAGGACGCGCTGGCTTTTTCCTTTCTTTTTCCCTCTGGCTGAGTAACAAATACTAATACTAATAATGATAATAATAATTAGAATAAATATAACCTCAAGACGCTTGGGGTCTCGTTGTCATGGCAACCGCGGGCGCTAATGAGCTTCTGAGGCCGCCCCGGGGCCACCCCAGACCCGGGCGCGGGATCAATGTTGATTCGGCCCCTGGAGGCAACAGTGGTTCCTCGGGGGCCACGCGGCGGACCAGGACCGAGGAGCAGGCACTTGGGAGGGGTCCTTCTCCCCGTCCCCTGAGCTGCCCAGCTGGGACCCCCAGGTCCCTCTGGGTCCGCAGCGTGGCCCTCAGTCCCTGTGCAGCCCGCACGGGGCTCCCAGCTCACTGCGCTCCCCGACTCGGTTCTCAGAAGCCAGTCCCCACCTCGGACGCGGATTCTGGTCCCGGCCGCCGCGTCCCGGCACGGTGCGCCCCGGACTGCTCTTCGCAACCTGGCCCCTTCTTCTCCAAGGTTCAGCGACCCCGACCTTGGTGAGCGCCGGCACGGACCCCAGTGCCGAACACCGGCTGTCCCGCAGGGCTCCTGCCCCCAGACCCTTCCCCGGTCGTCCCCAGCCCCCTTCTAAAGAGCCCCGGACCCCAGTCATATGACCCTTACCCGCCTCTCCCAGTGCGCCCACCCTTCACCCCTTCTCCGGAGCCCCGCGCCGCAGACCCCGCCCCCCACTCGCCCAGACTCTCCTCCGCCAAGAGCTCCGCCCCGGCCCCTTTCCACGCCGCGCTCGGACCCCGGCCCGGGCGCGCCCCTCCCCCGCGCGGCCCCCGCCCTGCCCGCCCCGGGGCGCAGCTCACCTCGTGCCCGCCGCCCGCTCGTTCCTCGCTCCGTAGCCGGGAGCCGGCGCCCGCGGGAGCCGCCTGCTGGGGTGCGGGGGCTGCCCACGCCCCCGCGATGCCCCCGCCGCCGCCGCAACAGTTGTCCGGTTTCTGGGGGCTGCGGGGACGCGGGGACTCCGGGCTCCTGGATCGGCGCTCGGAAGGCGCCCGCTTCTAGGCGCGCCGGGCGCGGCGCGGAGCTGGGGCTGGGGCCGGGGCTGGGGCTGGGGCAGGGGCTGGGGCTGGGGCTGGTGCCGGGGCTGCAGCTCCGGCTCCGCGTACGGCTCGGGGTCCGGCGGCCGGCCGCATACCCCGTCGCCGCCCGCGGCTACTCG